ACCCGCCCCCGAGCAGACGCCGGCTCTGCGGGAACCGCGGCCCCTTCCCTCAAGATGCCCAAGCCCGCGGCCCGCGGATGTGAGGATGCACGCAGAGTGGGACGCCCCCCTCCCATCTCGCTCGCACCCTTGGGCATAGCAGCGGCCGAGCGCACAGCGGGTCCCGGGAGGCCCCGCGGGAGGGAAGCAGCCGGGCCGAGCCTGCGCCGCGCTTCCGCACTCGCGCCCTCGGGCGGGGCGCCCCCGCGTCTTCCTCTTGCTTGCACCCCCGACCCTGATTTCCCTGCGCCACCTTTTGTGCCTAGCTCAGTGATTGACGGCGGGCCCTCGAGGGCTTCTGATCCAAACCACAGCCTGACCCCAGCCCCCACCGATTCCCGGCGCCCCCTCCCTCGTTAGAAACTGAGCAGAGGTGCTCTTTGGAGTTAAGAGACATTTTAGACTAAAGGAAAAGCCGAGAACGTCCCGGAATACTGCATTCTTCTCTTCCCCTGGGGCCCCAACACCCCCATCAACACTGAACACTGTTGCCTGCCGGGGCCAGCGCCGTCGAGCGGGGAACCCCGCGTCCACACCGCGCGGAGACCCGCCTGTGTCCAGATTTGCTGTGCGAAACAAGAACCTTCAGCTCCTGGCTGTCGGAGCCGCGGCGTAGCTGTGGCTGGACCCGCACCTGAGGGGTGCATGGGTCGAGTCCTCCCAGGTCTTGGACCGCATGCAGGCGGGGTGGGCTCTAGGGTTCGTTTCCTATGTGACACTTTCCATTTTTGTCTCCTGTATCCTGCACTAATAAAAAGGTGGGAATAGGACAGTATCTGCCTTCCCTGAGACAAGTCCAACAACACCAAGATTTTAAAGAGGTGGGGGGAATGGGTAGTGTTGAGAGGGAGTGGCTGACAGACATCTATGTCAGGGCGCTTGGAGTTTTCTACCTGGTGATGCGGGGTTTGGGTACAATTTTTAAGGAAAACTCACTTCCTTAAAAAGATATTCACGGGCTCCTGGGTGGCTCAGTTGGTTGAGTGACTGCCTTCGGCTCAGGTCATGATCCTGGAGTGCCTGGATCGAGTCCCACATCGGGCTCCCTGCTCGGCGGGGAGTCTGCTTCTCCCTCTGACCCTCCCCCCTCTCGTGCTCGCTCTCTCTCATTCTCTCTCTTCAATAAATAAATAAAATCTTTAAAAAAATAAATAAATAAAAAGATATTCACGTTACACGCGCGCGCACACACACACACCAAGCAGCAATAATTTGGTTTTTTATGCATGTCCCAGTGCCTATTTCAGACTTCTACGTTAAAAGCATCCATTTTTAGTATCAATCACTTTGTGCTATATGGTGCTTTTGGAAGCGAAATTATTCGTGTATGGAATCCTCCTAATCATGGTTTACTTTGAGAGTGGAAAAGATGAGTTCAATCTCTGCATCCATTGAATTACTGGAAAAGAAAGACATGTACAGGTGTATCCTTAGAACTCTGGGCCAGTTCAATCACTGTCATCTTAACATTTTACTGACCTTAACACTAAAACGTAAACACTTTAAGGTTTAAAATGTAAAGAATTGACCTTAAAAGGCTTGAAAAGCAAAGAATAGGACATAAGACAAATACAACCCAAGCATAGAAATGTTAATCTTCCCCTCCTGGATAGGAGTGTCCGAGTCTCTTCTGCAGCTGACAAACCTGGTGGCACAAATGGATGGTCTGCTGAGACCTAAATGCAAAATCCTGATGTTTCTCCCCAAAAGAGTGCCAAAGCAACATTTAAGAGTCATATGTTTGCTTTCATCATTATAGATAATATTTTGAGTCCACTAATTTTGTTATGGGGTGTGTAGTGTTTTTTTTTTTTAATTCAAGCATGCAAATATGGAGTTGTTTCAATAATTTTAGATTTGTTTTTGGCAAAGTGATTATTGTATTCTATAACTTAAATAATAATTACATGCAATTGCCAAATGAGTGCCTATTTAAATGCTAATACTATGTTTTAATTCTTTGGGGGAGGAAGGAAGGAGATTTCATATCTAGATAAAACCCAGCTAATTTCTCTCAAAAACAAGAAGGCTTTTATTATTTAAGTGATGTAGATATTCTCATTTTCTTCACCTAGGTTACCCTAAGTCCCTTGTCTTTGCTTCCAAAGCACTTATATGGCTTAGAGCAATGATAGCTCTTAAAACACGGGCAGTTTGCAGTATATACTTGTTGAATGAATTAGTACTTTGTTTACATATCTTTCTCCCACTAGATTTCATGTGCTAGAAGACAGGCACATTCTGTTATTAGCAAAGTGTCTGGAATACTTTGATACTTAATATGTGTTTGGCTTGATAGAGGAATATATATACACTTGATTCACCTCAACAATTTTTAAAATGTGGATGTTAATATCTACACACATAATCAGCACATGTGTTAATATCAGCACATACAGAGCCCTAACTTTTAAAATTCAGCTAGGAGCTGAAGAAAAAAATACATGTATGGTAAAATTAGCATAATTTCTTTTAGGCATATGGAAAATATATTCCCATGATAATGAGATTTTTCTGAATTCCCAAACCAGATTTTTAGAGAAGTAGAACAGGATATTTAAACTGGCTTTATAATGTTGTCTTTTTAAAGTCTAATTTTCATAAGTAAAAAAATCAAATGCAAAAGTGATTTTGAAGTTACACATGATTACCTTTTTACAAAAGGAGCCAAAGGCTTCCAAACAAGTCTTTCATAGAAACACGTTTGCAATTTGTTCAGATAATATGTTTCATCCTCAGTCAAATGTATAGTTTAATAGGTCAAGTACATTGTATACCTGTATTTAAAGTTAGCTGGTACTTTAAGAACCGTAATCTTAAATAGCACTTTAAAAAAAAACCCTGAAATATCCCTTTGAACAGTTTTCTTTCTCACTACTTAACTGTTACAGTTGTATATGTGATCATGGGGCATTCAATTAGCTTTGTAAAACAGAATGGTATTTTATTTTGAAGTTAGTAAGTTGAAAAGTGGGTCAGAAAACATAGATTGGCTTTCTTGTCAGTAAAAGTAATCTGCCATATTTTATATTTGAATTGCTGATAATTCATTTATATGTATATTACAATCATTCTGTTGCATTTCTCTATTTAATTTTAAAGACTTTTTTCCCAAAAAAGCTAGAATAAAGAGCAAAGATCTAGCTTCTTTAATGTGTCCAATTTCAGATATAAAGTAGGACTCCTATATTATGTTTTACCAGGAACAATACAATTTAACCCTCAGACCTTGTTAATGATACATATTCAGAGTCTATAGTTTAAAATAGTTTCTATACCATTTGAACTTAAGTTTTTAAACTTTGTAGCATTCCATAAGTAGACTTGTATAAGTAATATGTTTATAGGTTTAGACATCTTTTTCACTATCAAGCTCCTATCTCAACACTTTTAAAGTAAAAAATCATAGTAAAGCAATTACTAAAAATGACAGCTGTGGTAGCTTAGGAGTTTGAATTGTTTAAGTACTGAAACCAAATATGGAACCTCTTAGTTTTAAGGGGATTTTTTTTTCATAATGCAACAAGGAACTGAAAACAAAATTACAATGAAGGTTTTATTTGCCACTTTAATTATTTGCCCAATCTGTTTTCCCCCACGTCTCTAAATGGGAACATACAAAAACTTCAATTTTAAAAGACCTGTTTCCTTAGAGAAATGTGGACATCATTGTGAAACTTATGACTTTGGAGTTAGGTAAAGGAATTGTGAGTATTACTGGCTTCTGAACTGCGGAGCAAAAGACATGCACCTGTTCCGGGGGTAACAGGGAACCTGACTGAACACACTTACTCCTCTCTTTTATTGCTGGTCCATTCCCCAACTATCTGGGGCTCCACAAAATATCAGGACTTCATCAGAGGGCTCAAGTCAGAGGGAGAGCTAAAAGATTATTATATACGACTCACCCCAAATATGAGAACCAGCTAAGTTTGCATACTCCCTTTTATTGAAGAGCTATCAAGAGGTTTCTTTCCTGTCTTGGCACTACTCAGCAGCGGCTGTGGCTATCTATTCACTTGACACCTGGTGAAATTGTAGTTTCTGATGGAGAAACATTTAAAGTTAACACCTGTCATTAAAACATTTCGTATACAGTTTTCGGGCAAGCTAGAAACCAGTGATAGACTAAGTACTTAATTTCTGTTAAAAGATTCTGGGTAAAAATTTGAACTTACCCAAGCTAGGGAAGTCTGGTTAAGATAATGTGAATCAAAACTTTCCAGGTAAAGATTCTCTCTCCCTTTCTTTTGGAAATGTCATTTAGCAACAAAATGAAGCTTAAGTTTAAAAGACAAAGACAACTGTTTAAAAATCACAAAAGTGAGGAAACAGCAAAGTTGGTGGTTAGGTAGGAGAAAGTCACGCAGGACAGGACATTTATCATATTGTTCCCCGTCTACTTTTCTCATTGAATCTCTAGGAGTGTTTATTAAATACTTTTAAAGCAGCATGCTTAAGTTACGAACATAGTTGTCTTGACCCTCCAGGAATCCTGAAACCAGAAATGTCAGGCACATGAAAGCTGGTTTAAAGGGGAAAACCATTCGGCGTTAAGGTTGCGTTGACAATGTATATATCAGATTACACAATGTCATATGTAAGATGTCTCTTGACCGTCTAAGCCAAAGACGACTCCACTGACTTAGTTTACTAGCCTCGCCGCGCTTTAACTGGGTTCTCTCGAGGACTCCCCCTCGTCGGGATCGAGTCCACGGCGCAGTCAGGAAACTTCGCGGGTGCGGTTCGGTTTGCAAAGAACCCTAGGCTCCTGGCGGACGCCCTGTAAGCACGGCAAAATCGTGACATCGACGGTGCACGATTCCCGCGGCGACTTGGCGAGTGTGGCACGTCTCGGGAGCCCCTGCAGGCGGAGCCCCCCCGGGGCTGTCCGCCTTCGCCCCACACCCGGTGCCGCGGCCGTGACGTCACGCCCGGGACTGGCCGTTGCCGCGAGACGGTCGCGTTCCGGTTCCGGTCGGTTGCCCGGGAGACGCGTGTACACAGAGAGAAACGGCTCCCGTCGGTGGCCGAGTCATCGCCGCGGTCGCCCCCTCGGCGTTCTCGCAGGCCGGGAGCGGACGGGCCGCGTCGGCGCCGAGCTGGTCGCGGGCCGAGAGCTGCCGGCGCCATGAGTCAGAGGCAGGTGTTGCAAGGTAAGGCCCGGGGCGCGCGGCGCCCCGACGGGCTGGCTGCGGGAGCCGCGGGGGCACCGGGGCGGCCTGCTCCACCGTGTTTCTCCTCCGCAGTGTTCGAGCAGTACCAGAAAGCCCGGACCCAGTTCGTGCAGATGGTGGCAGAGCTGGCGACCAGACCCCAGAACATCGAGACGCTGCAGAACGCGGGTGAGCCCGCACAGACCCCGCGTCGCTCAGGGCCCCTCGCTCCGCTTGGCGGGTCGCTCCGCACCCCCGGCCCTGCGTCACTTGGGGCCCCTGCCTCGTCTTGCACCTCGAGTTTCTAGTCACCCCGGGTGCTCAGCCCTCTGTCGCCCCTTAGATCTGAGACACAGATCTGATCTGTGCTCAGATCCCTGGCCCCTTTGTCCGCCAGGCTCCCTGGCCTCGCCTGGTCCCACGTCTCCGGTCCCTTGCCTCAACCTCGGCCTTACCCCGGCTCCCTGTCGCCCCGCTCCCCTGCCGGCTGAGCTTTTGGAGAAGGGCAGGGTGGAGACAGGACGGCGTCCCTAATTTCTTTCAATCCACCGCGGAGACAGTAGAAGCATTCGTTCTCTTTAGCGGGTCTTTTTGGGTGTGAGGCCAAGAGCGTGAAGCTTCCAGATTGGTGTGAGAGGGGCCCGACGTCCCTATTTCCATCTTTATCGCAGGCCAAGTGTTAAGTTGAAAGTCAAGGCCAGAAGAATTGCCTGGAAGTCATTTTACGTGAATGGGAATCTACCTTAATCAGACCCATTTTATCCGGGTGCCGTTGCTTGTCACCCTGCCTTTGATCACCTTCGACTTCCTCACACCAAAGGAATTCCAGAGCGGTTGACACATTATTTCTCGCCTTGCATTGGTGAAAGGGCAAAGATTTGCTTGAATAATTTCTAAGACATTCAAAGTAGGTAAAGTGCTAGCTTTGAGAAGTCCTTATGGCGCTGTCATTCCTCCCCCTCAGTCCGAAATCATGCATACTCTAGAAAGAGGAAGAGAGAGTGTGTGATTTGCTTCTTATCAATTAACATAAACAGATGGAGAAGATAGTGGTGGATTAAGGATGATTCCACCGCCATCAGAACTCAAATGTAGCATTTTATCACTACTGTGTCATAAGAAATGTTCAATTTATAGTTTGTAATCTTTAAAACTCATTCAAATTAACACAGAACTAAAATTTAAGGACATATTGACAGGGCAAGAATGTTTAGAAATAATGTTTACTCTGGTTTCTTTGAGGAGAATTACTACTGCACCTAAATGGCAATTTTTTTTCTGTCACTGAGAGGGATTTTGGTGTTTATTCCTTGTATATTTCTTTGGAGGGGGTGTATTTATAGAAAGTGTATTTGATAATCATGTTTTAAAACTTTTTATTTTGAGATAATTGTAGATTTACATGAGTTGTAAGAAATAATACAGAGATCCCCTGTACCTCAAAACTGTGGCATGATATCACACAACAAGGATATTGAAACTGATAAAAATCCATCCATTTTATTCAGGTTTTCCCAGTTTTGCTTGTACTTATTTGTGTGTGTGTGTGTGTGTGTGTGTGTGTGTGTGTGTTTAGTTCTATACAGTTTTATCCTGTGTGTAGCCATCATCACTGTGGTCAAGATACACAACACTTTCATTACTGCAAGGATCACTTTTATTGTCCTTTTATAACTACACCTACCTTCCTCTTGTCCCTAACCCTGGACAACAACTAATATATTCTCCTTTTGAAATCTCAAATTGATCATCTTTTGTTCTGTAGTTGTTTCATGTGGATTAATTTTCTTTCTTCATATGTGTGTGCATGGATGTATACTCCCCAAAGTACCCAGAACAGTGTTGGACAGTGTTTCATGTATACTGACAAATATAAATTTATTAGAGCATATTACATTTTTAAAATGCACTTAATTTTTAGTTCTTCCCCACTCTCAGTCCTACTTGTCAATGGCTTTTGTGAATGGACACTTACTATTTACAAATATCTAATTTCTGAACTATAGGTAAACAGCTAAACAAATATTTTTTTAAAAGGGAAAATGAAATTATTTAAAAAATTTGATACTGTAATATGGGGGTATAAGTAACACTTAAGATACAGAATATAACATTTTAATATAGTAGTGTCAGGTTATCTCTTCCTATAAGTGTACAATATAGAATGTACTATGGAATTTAATCAATCCAAACCATTAGGCTAAGTGATCACCAAAATATAAGGGATCTACCTATGACATCTTAAATAGCCACCTATTTCCACTTATGGTCTGGCTTATGAAGGAATGGAACACAAAAGGAATATAACAATGTTTTGAAGTTGTCTGCACTTGACCAATGTTGATGGAATGCTAAATTTTTCTTTTCTTGAGGAACTTATTTTAACATAATTCATGTTATCTAGATTCAATTTAAGCAGTCCTTTAATAATTTTATAAATAGATACAGCTAATGAATATTCCAGTATATTTATTCTTTTAATTAAAATAATCTGTAAGCTTTGTTATGAAACCTTAATAGCCTATAAACTATTGAAATGGTTTGTTCTTTAAAAAAAGATCAACATGGATTTAAAAATACTTTTGAATGAGCCACAATACGTATGCATCACTTATGTATTTTGATCAAGTTTTTTTTCAGTCAGGTGACTTCATTTTGATAGCATAAAATACCACTGCATTTTATTCCTGACTTTGACATACTCTCTGCATACCTGGGAAGGTTTTGTTTTGTTTTCTCACTTTTCTTCCCTAATGAACTGCTTAAATAAATATGTATCATGGATCCAAGATAAGGTAAAAAAAAATTTTCTATATAGGCATCATGATAAATCAGTAATTCACTTGTTAAGAATTTTTTAAGTCATTCACTGTGAAAGGAACCTTAAAGGTGAAAATTATCAATGGAGTTTTATTTCATTTTATATCTCTGATCTTTTTCATTATATTTTTGATGTGCTAATAAGAATATTTGCTTTGTTACATATGCCCAAAGTAATTACTAAAGCAAACAAAGTGTTGCAAGATATCTTCTTCAGAGTATTTGGACAAAAATAAGTTTGATTTCTAGCCAAAACTGTTACTAGAAAGAACGGTGTACAATGTGTCCATAACCTAGAGTTATTTTTTTCTTACTGAGATTTTATTCCTTCTAAATCAAATACATACAGGAAAACATTAAAGTTTGATGTTTGTTATAAAATCTCTTTATGCACCTTCCAACCCTGTACGTTTGAACCATTACATCTTGCAGCTATTTAAAAAATGAATTTTGATACTTCCCCTATTTGAATAATCAGTAACACATGTAACACAATTTAAATAGTAGAGATAATACATTATTACTTCTACCAGTTGTAGAATTTCAGCAAATGGCGGTGGTTGTTTAGTTATAAAACGGAATTTAATCAAGTTTTGTGGCATATTGGACTATCAGGCTCTCTTACTTAGGTTGTTTAGAAAGTCTTTTATACTAAGCTAATATAAAAACTTATTTTTAAATTGCTCAGTTTCATAAAATGAACTTTCTGAAACAGCTATTTATGTAAGAAAAATTGGGATAAAGTTTAAATTAATACTTTGTAATATTTAACATATAACCTATAGCAGAACAATAAACATAGCTAATCACTAGTTATACACATTTTCAGAAGAGCAGGAATAGAGAAAATTGCTAACACTTTAAATATGCATCTCTGTGAAGCTAATTTGCAAATTTAGGCAATTTAATGAGTTTACAATTCAAGAAAATAATAATGATCTTAAGTTACACGTGTCTGGGGCAGGGTGAAAGTGTTCATATTAATGATTTAACACCTCAGTTTGCTGAGAAGGAAAAGTCTGTGGTAAGAATTTATAATATGTTTAAAACATAGCCTGGTAGGTACAAGTACCATGGTTCTCTTACAAAACCCACTGTTCCAAAGGATATTGAAACTGAAAAGATAATTAGTAGAGCAACTTCAAAAAAACTTAACCAATCATGCTATTTAAATTTCATGAATATAAAAGGAGTCTTGGACTTTTGAATGCATGATAATTAAAGTACTGATCTTTTCTTAAAAGATAGGGATAGTGGGTTTTGTGTTTTGCTTGTTTTACATATGCTTAAGTGGAAAACATTTGAGGGAACTATAAAAGTTCTGAACTTGTATGCACCTAATAATATGTCCTAAAAACAAGATCATTCAAAATTTTATTCTGTGTTCCAAACCCTTGTTCCTACATGGACATTTATCCGTTTTGTTATCTAAGCATTGGTACATAAGTAGAAAATAATATGGCCAGGGCTAGGATATCCTTGTTTTCTTAGGAAAAACTGGATGATTAAAAAAGAAAAATCTAAGCTATGGATGACCCTATAAGAGTAGGGCTTAGGGGTGCCTGGGTGGCTCAGATGGTTAAGCGTCTGCCTTCAGCTCAGGTCATGATCCCAGGGTCCTGGGATCGAGTCCCGCGTCGGGCTCCCTGCTCCTTGGGAGCCTGCTTCTCCCTCTGCCTCTCTCTCTCTCTCTCTCTCTGTCTTTCATGAATAAATAAATAAAATCTTTAAAAAAAAAAAAGAGTGGGGCTTAGAAATGGCAAGTTTGTGTGGGTTATTTTTTTTTAAGATTTTATTTATTTATTTGACAGCAAGAGACACAGCGAGAGAAGGAACACAAGCAAGGGGAGTGAGAGAGGGAGGAAATGTGACAATTTAATGTTTTTGAAAAGTTATTTAAGTATTTCCTAACTCCTCTTCACATTTCAATGTTTTCTCATGGCTTTTGCTCCTCTGACTAGAACCTTTTCTTGTACGTCTTTGTCTAATTGATTTCTACTCATTCTTTATGGCTCTGTTTAGATGTTGATTCCTCAGGGAAACCTTTCTTGAGCCCTGTCAGTAAGTTAAGTCTCTTGATTTATGCTTTCCTTGCTCCTGATATTTCTCTTTCATGATACTCATTACAATTGCAATGATTTAGTTTCTGTTTTCTCCACAAACTAAATTCCATGCCTAGCATAATGCTTAGTATAGAGCAGTTGTTCAATGTATTTAAATAAAATGAAAGGAGAATTATTATTATTATTTTTAAAAGATTTAATTTTTAAAAGTAATCTCTGTCCCCAACATGGGGCTCAAACTCACAACCCTGAGATCAAAAGTCACATGCTCTACTGAATGAACCAGCCAGGTGCCCCAGGAGTAAT